GCAAAATTTATTATGGTTTATAATGGCAAATGATACTTTGAATATTACATGTTAATAATTTGATTGGAATTATAACCTTGAGACCTACAGCCCTACCCCCAAGGGCTGTAGGTGCTAGTTTCAAATCCTTTTTAGTCTGAAATCTGTATGCTAGATATTGAGTAAGGTGGTTTTATTGTTTTTTGTCACTTTGAATAATATTTCTGTTCATGTTAAAAACAAAATCAACTCTCTGTATAAATATATCAGGTGACCGTTAAGGCCCATGGGCCTCTTGTTTTTCTATGTTGATACTAGGTTGGAGTGATATATACGGGAAACACATCTTATTAAAGGTAGACTGTTTTTTTCATTTCTATATTCAAGATGGCTGCTACTGCCTCTGATTGGCTGAGATATTAAAACTTCAGTGGTCAAGCAGGAGGGTATTAGTATGACTATGGCTTACATTTCTAGTATAGAAAGTAAAATAAACTTTATGAACATTCATGTGTCTTTTGTAGCCTAACCCACACCAAGGTCGGTTCCTGGACTGTGAGCCTGGTGCCGCCTTAGTCCTCACTATCAAAAGTACACAGATTTCTGCCTGCTCCTCTGGCTCCCTCGTCAGCAAGGGGAAGTTCCAAGGTAGGTAAAAAAATCTGTGACAATCATAGATTAACTTCAGTGGTCACTCAACAGTAGATGTTCAAAGGTCATTTAATTAAGGTATAGAGTACCAGTGCCCAATGTTCTATCTCCAATAAAGAAGAGTTCCAATTTATTACGCATTTTATTAGTCAGAAGTGCCGGTGGATTTACTATTATAGCAAATAGTTTGTGTCCTTAGTACTTTCAGTACTTTGATTCTGTATACCTTCTATGTTAATCATAATCGTGTCATTTCAATCTATCAGATTTTTGCCTGCGGTTCGCGGCAGATTTTGAAACATCTTGGGACGACTGGAAACCAAGCAATCCCAACGATTCCGTAATGAATGCATGTGTAGTTCCGGAAGGTACTTATGAGGTCTGTTCTCGTACCATCAACAAACTGATGTCAGGTCAGTATCATAGATATGCACTGGTAAACAAACATTTTAACCATTGAAGCAAGAGTTTCAAGGACCTGTATTTCATGATCAGTAAGTTACAATAATTGAATTTTATGTTACTGGTAAAAAAAATATTGATTGAAGATCTGTTATAGGTAGTATGTGGTCTTGAACAAGATGGCTTTCTTAGAATTGCTTTAGTCCACTCATCTGTACAATTAGGTACCAGCATTTACAGGAAGTTCACTTTTGAATGACTGGTGTCCTTTTTACTATTAAAGTCAGGCACTGAATTGGATATGTATGACTATATGGTCCACATAATCAGAAGGATTAAACATAACATAACCTAATATTTGAATTACAGAGCCAAGCAGTAATGCAAAGTGGATTCTAAATGTGCGATGGGAGATGCAGGGAATAGACGTCCACATTGACACAAACATTGGCAAACGACTTTCCGCCCTAGGCAACACACTGACCACCTTGGCAGGAGACCCAGATGAAGAATTCTCTGAGGACAGTTTCCAAGATGGAGGGATTGACTCAATTTTCTCGCCTTCAAACGATCCGGAGATTGAGATTACCCGTCGACCTAGTACTATTATGGACACCCTACCAGAGTTTGTGTATGATACGTCACTTGATCCAAAACTCCGCTTCAGGCTGATTGAAACAGAGATGAACGAACAGGCGAAAATAGTACAGGATCTCAAGTAAGTAAATCAACTATACTCCAAACTCGAGTCTGAAAATACTGGACAGTTTATAAAGTGGCATTACTTCAAACGCAAGGCCGAACATTCTGTACAACAAGCTTAAGTAAGGCTGCAATACTCCAATCTAAAATATGATTTTTAAGTTTCTCCCCTTTTTATTTCCCATTTTGCTTTTAAATGAGAGGGCAAATTTCTTGAGGCAAACAGTCACATTGCCATTAATCACGAGACTGAGTTTAACATGTTGTATAAACTGCAACAAGCCCATATATAATGCAGTTCAGATGAAATACCAACAAATGAAATTTCATTGTCCTGTAATAAGCCCACCCATACTTAGAGTAAGACATTTCTCTGTTGAAACCCCCACCCTACCCTGGGCTTATACGTACAGTAATTGCAAAATTAACACTGTAATAAATTGGTATATTATTAGCTCACCTGCCCGAAGGGCAAGTGAGCTTATGTCATGGTGCGGCGTCCGTCGTCCGTCCATCGTCCGTCGTCCGTCCTCGTCCGTCAACTTTTCCATTAAACAACTTCTTCTGAAGAATGGACAGGCCTAGAGTCATGATATTTGGCAGAAAGCTTTGTTGGTAGGAGCCCGACAAAGTTTGAGAACGAAAATGACCTTGACCTACTTTCAAGGTCACAGGGGTCAAATATGTCAAAAACTTCAAACCACTTCTTCTGAATAACTGAATGGTAAAAAATCTTCATATTTGATTGATGGCTTCCACGGATTGAGCCCAACAAAGTTTGAGAACAAAAATGACCTTGACCTACTTTCAAGGTCACAGGGGTCAAATATGTCAAAAACTTCAAACAACTTCTTCTGAATAACTGAATGGTAAAAAATCTTCATATTTGATTGATGGCTTCCTGGGATAGAGCCCGACAAAGTTTGAGAACGAAAATGACCTTGAGCTTCTTTCAAGGTCACAGGGGTCAAATGTGTCTAACACTTCAAACGACTTCTGAATAATTGAAAGGTATAGAATCTTAATATTTTGCTGGTGGCTTCTTTGGATATAGCCCGACAAAGTTTGAAAACGAAAATGACCTTGACCTACTTTCAAGGTCATATATGTCTATTGCTTAAAACAACTTCTTTTGAAGAACTGAAATGTATAGAACCTAAATATTTGTCTGGTAGCTTCCTGGGACAGAGCCCAACAAAGTTTGAGAATGAAAATGACCTTGACCTATTTTTAAGGTCACATGAGTCAGATATGTAAAACACTTCAAACAACTTCCTCCGGAGAACTGGAAGATATAAAACCTTAATATTTGGCTGGATATTTCCCTGGGAAAGAGCCCAACAATTTTTGTGAATGAAAATGACCTCAACCTACTTTAGATGTCACAGAGGTCAACATCATTTTAAAGGAATGGATTCATAAGATTTGGCTGGTAGCTTTTTGGAATAGAGCTAGCCAATTTGAGACGGAAAATGACATTGACCTACTTACAAGGTCACAGGAAAAAATATATCAAGCAAGTTCTGATGAAGAAGAAAAAAGCATAGAATCTTATAATAATATTTGGCTGGTAGTTTCAACAGATGGAGCCTACAAAGTTTGCGAGGGATTTTTTTTTTTCGTGCAATATAATATTTAATGAGAATATTATGACTGCTTAAATATTCAGGTGAGCGATACAGGCTCTCTGGGCCTCTTGTTTGGTGTAAGTTGTTGGGAGTTTTATCTGAAGCACTGGGACATTGAACCATGCCTTTGTCTTTACAGACAACTTGGTGCCAGTTTGGCCACCGTGGAAATAGAGTCCAAAAAACTGGAAGAACTCAAGGGTATTGTGTTCCAAGACTTCAGACGAGAGGTTCTCAACAAACTAAAGAAACAGAGTGAGAGTCGGGTAGGTTTTGTTCCCAATGCATATAATTTGGAAGTTATTTCTCAACACAAAAAATATGCTGTCAAAAATGCCATATTTAGGAGTAAAAATATGTTTTACTGTTATTACGAGTATTTTTAAAAGCATAAAACTCTTAATTTCGGGTTTGCTTTTAACAAATTCATATATCATGGAATTTTCTCATGATCGTCAAACTGTGAAAAGAATTTTGCCCCCAATGAATGAAATGCTACGATCCCCTTGAATTTGTCATAAATAAATTTTAATGTACTGAGAGATCAGATATTTTCATGGGGCCCAAATCATGGTTTCTCATAAACATTGTATGGGTACAGAAATTCGAGGATAACGAGTAACCACTCACACAAAGAATTGCTATCTGTCAAACTATGAATTATGAACTCGTGGATGAAGATTATACCCACGAAATGAAAGAAATTAAACCCCCCACAAAGATAAGTTTTAGACAAAGCTCATATGATCTGTATGAAACAGTGAATTGTAGGGAAGGAATATCACAGTTACTTGTAGAAATGAAAATTAAAAAAAAGAAAAACTAAATTGTTAAATAGTTTCATTCTCTTTTTCAGACCTCTGCTTTGAAAGACCAGCTGGGTATAGGAAACAGAGCCTCTCATTATAGGTCCAAATCTTACGGAGGTCCTGTGGGGCGTGACAGAAAAGGGTAGGTCAAAAGGTTATATCGAGGACTGAGGAATTGTAACAGTGTTATTTGTGGCCTTATTTTGTGAAAAAGCTCCCTCAGAAATGAAAGATACCTTTATGGTTGAATTTGGAGTTCTGGTTCGATTAATGTAATACGCTAGTCTTATGATTCCTGAACCACTGCCAAAAAAGTAAAGATGAATTGGAAACATTTTTACTAATTTCTGAAAAGAAACCAACATTTAATAGTTCTGAGAGTAAAAGATTGCAAATGGGCCGGACCAGGATTCAGACCTTGAACATTGGATTACAATACGGTCGCTCTAGCTTACTAGGCTGATAACAACAGTTATACCAAAAAGGAAATAAGAAGGTTTAGTGTTTTTCCTGCAGTCAGACAGGGAACCTTAGTGTTCAAGATCATGTTAGAAATGGCCTGTCTTTGAGGAGGTTATTGTATACTGGGAAACTTTCTCCCTGTCAAATGTTTGCTCTTCACTGGTATTATCTGTTTGCATGTATTTTTATTTTTGCCCTTCACACACTTTTTACTATGTATGGTATGCTGTGTGCTTATTTTCACCATTGTTATTAATTCACCCTTGTTACAGCAGGCGGAAATTTCCTAGTATACTGTGGATTTGCAGACAGATACACCTGGTACATTGTTTACCTATGCTTATGGTCATCCCTTCTCATGAATTGTCATAAGATAAAAGAAAGTGGTTTATGGTGTCTATAATATTATAGGATAGCTTGTTTTTTTACGGACAGACATTTAGACCTGGAGAAGCTAGCCTCCTACAACCAAGATTTGGCATACAATCGTGGTGGGTCTGTGGACTGGAGTCGGACCCTCCCTGCTACCAAAGTACAGTTCGGAGGAGCGGACACCTGTACATATTCCCTCCCAGAGTAAGTATAATTTTCAAGTCCAGGACAAAGAGTTATAGGTCACACTTGACAAGGATGGAGGTTACATCTATGTGAGCCTCCACTTATTTTGCATTTATTTTTTGTAAAAAAAAGAATTAATGTATGTAAATTGAAAAAAAAAATCAGGGATTGTTTTGCCTTTTACAAACATGCGGCTAATGCTATTAGACAAAAGCCTAACCAAGACATTCATTAGGATGTGTTAATCCCTTCTAGGACTCCGGAGTCCCTTTCATCTGTGGAGTCGTCTCCCCTGTATAGAGGATACCTGAAGAGTAGCCCCACTCACCCTACTAAGAAGATTTGGATGTCTCGGGGTAGCTCCTCTGGCTCAGACTCCAGCGACTCACTCTCCGACCCCACAGATTACTCCTCAAAAACCACTCCAAATAGAGACTCGGGATCTGTTTTCGTCGACTCTGAGTATGCATGCATTTTTGAAATTGGGTTTGAGAAAAAGGAAAGAAGTGTAAATTGTGAAAAATATATCACGCCATTTTGAAAGTGACATATTTTATAAAAAAAACACACTGTAGGATGGTCGATTATCAACTTAAGTATTTTGTTTATATCTGTTAGACATATTAAAAAAATGGTATACAAGTACACATCTGTTGATATACCATAAGTACAGTCGAGCATGTGTTACCTGGTCACCTATGGGAGATCATAGTGTGGGCCGCTTAAGACAGGTGGCTGCTTAATTAATCAAGGTTCAATTAAAGTATATAATACAAAATATTTTATAACATCCATCAACAAGTTTACAATGAGTTCAATTTGTTTAAATCATTTATTAAACCATGCTGGTGAAAATCATTGCAATATTCCTTTGTTAGTACAAACATATTTAAAAAATAATAATTAAGTAATTAATCTGGTCGCTAAATTTCCATGTTTATAGAAGTTTTCCTTTTTACAAATTCAGACTTTGCAAATCAGTTATTTGACGCAAAACAATAAAATTACATAGTCAAGGTAATTTCTTAAAACATTTTGATATATATTAAAATAAATTAATTGTATAATTGCATATTTTCAGACAACCAGGGACATCTGTGGCAGATGACTCGGTAACCTTCAAGTCGGATACATCAAACCCGAGTATGGGAAGTTCGGGGTCGAAGCCCTCTGCCTCGGCAGAACCCAGCATCGACTTTGAGCTGGATATCAAAGTCTTCATAGACAGTGGGAAGTGTGTTCTATATCCCAAGTACTCCAAAGAGGATGAACTGAAAAAGTAGGTTCATAATATTAAAAGTCATGAATGTTTTCTGAGTGATTTAATGACACAAAGTTTATTGGTAACATCAGTACTGTAAGTTGTATTATTTTATTTTTGTTTTTGTTTTTTTGCCAGTTAGTAAATTTCCAGGAAACTATGCCCAGGGTTGACTTTGATCTTTAACTCATGTAATTAATGTTGACCCTTGTTGATATGGCCAGTTGTTCAACGATAATTAAGGTGAAAATAAAATGGGCCATATTTTCCCTTTTTACATTTCAGGTACTGTTAAATCACTAATTTTCGTAGGGTTTTTAATTTCGTTTATTTCGTGGGTAATCTTCATCCACAAATGCATAGGTCTATGCAGTATTTTCAAGTTTGATATAAAGCAATTCTCTGTTCGAGTGGGTACTCGTTATCAGCAGATTTATGTGCCAATGTAATGTGGTTTTGTTGGGGGAAACCACGAAATTCTGACTCCACAAAAATAATTGATTTCACAGTATATAGTTTAATAGCTATTAAACATTGTTAGTCGCTCATATTACAATTTGGAAAGAATAAGTTAAAGAAGCTTGGAAATGTGGAACAAAAATAGACTTAGAGACTTATTAATTAGCTTTAGTCTTTAATAAATGTCCATCACATATTTTCCTGTACAGGCAACTGAAGAGAGAGAAGACCCCCACACCAGAAACCCCTTCCTCCCCAAACAGTAAGAGGCGTGGGAAACGTAATGAAACCCCGCCCCCACCATCGATAGGGAAGAAGACTGACAAGGAACTGAAACAGAATCAAATAGAAAACACTGTTTTCTTTGTGCCAAGTGTGGATGTCAAGGTATGTTTCTTATTTCAAATTATCTTGACAGAACTCTGGGAGTATGCTCATCCATTTACTCTTTATACCCCCTGCGAATGAAGTGTTTTGGTGTGTGTGTGTGTGTGTGTGTGTGTGTATGTTATAGGGATCACACTGTCTGTCATCTGTCCATGATCTTAGTAAGCACACTTCTTTCTAAACTGTGTGTTGGATTTTTCTGTAACTTTACACAGTGAAAGTACATCATATGTTAATTTGTATGAAGAAAGGATAACAAACAGTTAAGGACGGATTGCACTTACTAAATGTCTGGAGCAGAAAGTCTAAAGGGCTAGAACTCCACAAGAAATAGTCAAAATGCCAATTCCTTTCTTCATACAAATTAACATATGATGTCATAATAATTCTCCATGCACATTCACATATGATATACTTAAACTATACCAAGTTACTAAATAATATTCCAACAAACAGTTAAGGACGGATTGCACTTACTAAATGTGTGGAGCAGAAAGTCTAACGGGCTAGAACTCCACAGGAAATAGTCAAAATGGGTAACTTGGTATAGTTTAAGTATATCATATGTGAATGTGCATGGAGAATGGAAATTCGTGATTCGGAAATTCATGATTCAACTTTTCGTCCTGGAGTAACTAAAATGTCTGCTTAAGAAACATTGTAAACACAAAAAGGGGGGG